TGGCTGATAGGGATGTGTAGGAAGGTATGGGATCATAGTAACCGAATGAGTCGGAGTTGTTGTTATTATATTCAAGCGAATAGTTTATCGGTTCGGGTAGTGATTTACTTTCAATAGAAACCGGAATGTAAATGTTTGGGGTAAACTGCAATTGGTCGTTATTTTTGAAGCTTTCCATCGATTGGCTGTTTAAAACTTTGTTTGAATTTGATTGGATGTCGAGATCGATGATGAGATTCGATTGGATGGCATTGATATTTGAGTTATTGATCCTCTTGGTCACTGGCGATTTTCGAATGGGTTTTGTTGGCGTTTTTGCGCTTGGTTTTTGCGCGCGTTTTTGCGTTTTGGTTTTGTTGTCAGATAGTATATCTATATCTCTATCTGGCACGTTGCAGCCTCTGCTATTGGCAGTTTTATTGCAAAAAACGTCGGATTTATCTGACAGGTTCTTATTTTCTAACTTGATTTTTTTTTTTCGTTCAGCAAATTTACATTTGTTGAGGAATTGTCCGTTATCGAAATCGTCACCAGCGTCATCATCGTCATCATATTCGCAGCAGTAGTCATCATCGTCATCGTTAAAAGCGACGTCGTCGTCGATTTGGTAGCTGTTGTGGCGCCGTCCGCCACCACATTTTTTGCTGTTGTCTTTGTGGCTGTTGTTCTTATTTGTGATCTTCTTCCGCCTCGGTTGATACTTGTAGTCGGGGTGGTCGACTCTGTGCTGCTGTCGTAACTTCTCGGCTTCCACCACAAACGGCTGCTTGCCCTGATCGTCGAGAAGCCTTTGTGGTGGCGATAATAATGGTGGTGATGATGACGATAATAAAGGTTATGGCGATGATGACAATGATGAAAGTTATGGTGATGATGATGATGGTGGTGATGGTGATGATAATGATGATGACGGTGGTGATAATGATGATGACGGTGGTGATAATGATGATGATGATAATGGTGGCAGTGGAGATGATGATGTTAGCGATTATTACTACTAGCAAAACGCTACCGTTACTACCACTACTACCACTAC